TCAATGTATCTCAATGATATAGAGACACGATTTACTCGGGTTGGCCGCGTTGATGATCGACCTCTAGCTCGCACTAGCATAAGACCAAATTCAGAACTTCCATGTATTTTCCCAAACCTTGGAAGATTTGTTGGAGCGGGTCAGGTTTGTACTCTTAGTCATGTAGAGAAGATGCAAGCACATCGGCATATATTGGTCAACTGTCAACTACTTGATCATTTACAAGAGTAAGTTTGACTCTTTCAAGAACAACTGATTTTAATTACATTTATTGAACTCAATTCTCTAATATATAAGTATTGCTAATTTCTTGTTTATGAAGTATAAAAATGAGTTGCGGAGGAAATATTCGCATCGGAGCAGGAGGGCTCGTGCCATCGACATTGACCGAGAAATGCATCTTAATTTTGCAAAATGGATCAAACAAAAAGTGGAGATGAATAAGTTAGATGAGATAACTGATGATTTACGATGCTTAGCTTTGGGTCCATCTGAAAAGGTTGTGAAGTATTCAGCTTACAATGTGAATGGTTTCAAATTCCGGGCAACCGAAAGAGAGGCTAACCTGAAAACACAAAATAATGGTGTTTATGTTGGTGCAGAAACTATGAGTTATACTAGCTCTAGTGATCCTAACCCAAGAGCAGGAAATGTAGCATACTATGGAAATCTTGTTGAAGTTATGGAGTTAAACTACTATGAAGTTTTCAGAGTTGTATTATTCAAATGCAAGTGCACTGATACTCGTGCGGAACGAGGATATAAAGTGGACGCATATGGTAATCATATGGTAAAGTTTTCACGCTTGTTACACACCGGAGATATTGAGGAGGATGACCCGTATGTATTGGCTAGAGACTGGTATATTATGTAAAAGATCCTTACGATGTAGAATGGAATATTGCAGTTCATGTTCAGGCTAGAGACTTATACGATATGGGTGATCCCAATGATTCAGAACAATTTGATGGTGAATTTGACCATGGCGTTTNCCTTGCTTCGTAGGACGATGTAACAACCCCCTGGAGGTTTTTCCCAAACAAACTTGAATTCCTCTTCTTTCTTGTTTGATTTATGGCTAAGATGATGATCTTCTTGTACGAGCAGGGTTGAAATTTTCTTCCTTTTCAAGTATCTCTCGTGATTTGTTCCACAAGAGACGAGCCGTTGGCGGTAAGCAGAAGAAGTGGAGGAGGAAGAGATGTAAGCTTTTGGTCTCCTTGTTTTGGTATTTTCCCAGCTGAATCAAATGGTAGATTTGGAATAAGAGTGAGTTATAAGCCACTTGTCGTCTTCTTTAATGGGTGTGTCGATATTCTTGATACACAATTCTTTTTATAATTTGAGAAACCATAAGATATCAAAGTGGAAAGGTTAGCATTCTAACTCATACCCACAATACACATTTGATAATTTATGAGGAAATTTGGAATTCGATTTAGGTCTTTGATCTAGAATTTTTCTGACTTCAAATTGGGGGGAAGATGGTGGTTCTGATGAATGATTCCGGTGAGGTCGACAATGACGAAGGGCTTCTCTCGTCTCTTTATGAGAGAAAGGATAGATGAAGTGAAGACTCCCGATAAGTGTTAGTTATAATTACTTGGAGAATAAAATAACTATTTCCCCAATTTCTTGAGAAACTCTCAGTCAATTAGAGTCTTCATTAGTCTTAGGTCAATATATATCAGCTGCTTCTTGTCTATTCCTCGCGATTGATGCCTCTCTTCAAGTTCTCTGATTTTACCCTATTTATTTTCTCT